GTGTGTGTGTGTGTGTGTGTGTGTGTGTGTGTGTGTGTGTGTGTGTCTGCATTTTTAGGACTGTTTCTGGTACGCATACCTACCTTGTCAGGACCATTAGTCCTTTTGTGGACCAAAGACCGGTCCTGATATGTTGGAATGTCATTTTTTGGAAAGGGGTTAGGTTTAGAGTTAGGGTCAGACCCGGTGGCATGGGCAGTGCTCGCCCACAGAGTCAGCCGTGCCTGCCCTGGACAGGCAGCTGTTTGTTGTTTTTGTTTTGTTTTGTTTTGTTTTGTTTACCTCGGAGTGGCCATCTTTCCATTTTTGGTACAGTTCAACCAATCAGTGCAGCCCAGGCAACATGCTAGTAAACTAACTACAGATAGTGGGGGGCGGGTCACTGACTCATACGTTCATATTTGATTCTTAAACGGCTATGGTCACCGTCGTTTGTGCGGCATGGGTAAGCCCAGATAGAAAGTCAGGAGAACCGGGAGGTTTCCCGGTGGCCTGCTTGCTGCCTGTCCTGCTCAGCAGGTCGCACTTGAAATTTTAAATAAACAATTTGGTGCCTTTAATGCTGCTGCAACACCTCCTCCCTTTGCCCCCTCCCTTACTTTTTCAGATTTGCTGACAAACGCACAGTAGACACATATGTGCAGCTACCTGTCTGCTTTGCAAACAACGTGGTGAATTCTCAGTGCTGGAGCAGGTAACATCAGTCTCATTAACATCTGATAAAGTCCAGCTTTTGGTAAAACTTTATTCTTTTAAAAAAAAAACAAAAATACATCAAAACTTTCCCACAGGACAGTTGTTTTTCCTAAGAAAAGTTAGCCTGCTGCTAGTCACCTATCAGAAAATATTAGCAACCACTTAAACTTTAGTGATAACATTTAATCTCCCATTGAGTTGTTTTTAATCATTTCAATTTTATTTTAATGTCAAGATTGAGTCCAAGTCCGCTCTGATATTTATTGATTCCCTGTTATAATCTACATGCAAAACGTCACCAACTATTTATTCTACTAACTTCAGTACCCTCTAATAAATTGTGCATCTGCTGTTTATCTTATCTTTGCAAGATTAAAATGATTACATGAAAAAAGTTTTGTATTTTTTAGAGTTTCTCTGTTTTCTGCATAAAAGGGTGCTTCATGGTCAGAGAACTTTTATTTTTAATAGTCAAATGATGTGAAGAAAAGATAGTCATCTGTTATTTATTCATGTTATTTCATGATATTTTCTTGACTTTTTAAAGCTGACTGACTTCAGGTGGCAGTAAAAAAAAGCTAATCCTTCATTCATCATCTGCTGATAGGAGCTCAGAGTCAGAGTCAGCAGGTAGAACAGAGTGTCTCAGGTAAGAGATGAAGGTGATGGGCAGGTGTGCATGAAATCTAAAATGTTATTATGAGTACATTTTAGTCATTGTGAACTTCATAATCTGCAGCATGACTAACAACTTTATTTTATTTAGACCAGTATAAATTAAATTTAACTTTCCTTTCTATGAAGTGGTAGAAATTAGTTTTAATAATTGGGATTTTTCTGATTAAATAAAGCTCAATAAATAAAYCTGTCAATCCATCCATCATTAGCTTTCTAATCAGTTCCACACTTCCATGTGTCAATCTTTCTTTTGAGATTGAGGTTTTTCATTCTCAGCACTGTAGGAATGGTCAGAGCCACAGTTCAGCTTGAAGCAAATAAAACATTTGTTGGAAATGAATGTAAGTTCAAAACACAGTCCTAACAAGGATAGAAATATTTACTTGTGCGTTTTTGTCTATTCATTTTTCTGTCTGTTAGCAAAATACTCCACCATCCTCTATTCTGATGGAAGTTTAAAATTTGCTGTTGTTGAAGCTGAGCATCATCCCCAGCATACCCTGACCACCGGTGTGTGATATATTTGCTTGAAATTTTGGCATAAACTATTAGTCCCGCCTGTTAGCAAAACATCTTGTGAAATGCTGAATGAATTATATTGAAACGCTCATAAATTCAACAATGAATGTACACCTAACTCATTTCCATTTAGAGTCAACCTAATTCACGGTGGCAGCTAAATCTAGAAAACACAAAAATGTCTATAATTCAATCGTTTATTTAGATAATGAGCTAAAGGTTGGTATTGCAGTAGCTGAAAGTCATCTCCAACATGCACCCTAAATTACTAACAGATCATGCAATCTCTCACAATACTGTATGATAATAATTTCCAAATTTGGCCAAAATGGACAGCCATAATTCAAATAGGCTTATCTTTAACAGAGGGCAAGGAGGAGGGACCTGAATGTTGTATCTGTTCAATTTTTTTCTGTCCATGGTTTTCCAGAAACTACAGCAGCTTTAATACAAAATGATGAGTTTAGTTTATAAAAAGATTTGAAGCATTCATTTGAAAAATGACCAGCCTTATATTAAAACATCAGCTTTTCAGATCAGTTTTTGTGACTCTTGCAGCATTTTTCTTCCTACGTGAACAACTGATTAATCTTGTTCCCCTATTTTCCAGCAGTATTCACTTTAGATGTGTTATGCGTCACACAGACACATAAGAGTCTGCTCAAAAAAAATCCGATCCCGGGATGAATACTTATTATTGATCACTGCCCTGAAGCAACCCAGTTTCTTTCTCCTCAGATGCGTCATTAAAACCCTCAGATTACCAAAGACCACACTGCCCCTCCGCGGTGATCCGGGGCAGTGCGCCTTTATGCAAAGCAGACCATCTTACCTCCCATGAGGAAGAGGAGTCCAGCCACGTACTGCATCAGATCATGCTCCTGACAGCAGCCCAGCACGCCTATGATCCATCCGAACAGGATGATGGAGATGGCCATGCCGATGAAGCTGGCAGTCATCCTCTGGAGGTCTGCAAAGCACACACATTTCTGTTTGTTTGTTTGTTTCTGGGTGAATTTATCAGCTAGATTAGGGAGGGAACTCACGTAGCGCGTGCCACTCATCCTGCCTGATAGTCTTGGTCAGGTTGATTGGCAGGTTCCTGGGCAGCGCTGATGATGAGTAGTAGTATTTGATGGGCGTGCAGCGCGAAATCAGTCCTGAGGATTGTAAACAACACAGACTGCTCAGATAAGGAGGCTCTCTACTGCCCCCCTCCCTTCCTTCTCCTCTTCCTCCTCTCCAAAATACAGCACCCAACCCCCCCTCTCTCTCCTCTCTCTCCTCTCTTCCACCACCCACCCGTCCACCCACACCACATCATTGTGGAGTATTTTCTTGTACGCATCTCGAGCCTTCTGTTACTACAGCTCGCCCTTTTGTGCCGAAACATTTAAACACACACACACACACACACACACACACACACACACACACACACACACACACACACACATATAGTAGAAACCATGGGGCGGGAGTGTCAAGTGGGT